TTGGGATTTCAAGGTAGAACTTTGCTCTCTCAAAAAATGTTTACCTTCCAAAGTATGTGATTCACAACTGTTTTCTTTCAGAGCGGCTGATCACCTGCTAACATGGTGTAGTCCGTTAACACAATCCTTATTCTGTGGTCCTTTCTGTGAATCAGGAGAGGGGCAGGGACATGGATGAGGTATCTTGAGACACAGCACCACATTTCAAAGGTCCAGCCAGATCTCCCTGAATCTTTCCAGACTGAAGAATATAGCTTGAAAGCAGTAGAACCGTGATTTTCTACCTGTGGTGCATGGGTTCCTGCATGAGGTCATACATGACCTTTGATAGCTAATAATGTAGATCGGGCAGATTGTCATATGGCATATATGGACTATGTAAAATGTCTGAAAGCTGTGCATTTCCTTTAGAAATTCTTTAGGGATTCATAGTTTAAGAAAAGGTAGAAAATTAATCCATCAGGAGTTCCTTACAAAATTTATAGGGGTGTCACCAAGGAAGAGGGAGCTGGTCCAGCAGCTCACTGGGACCTAAGACTAAAATTTAAGTGATTTTAATTCACTTGTCTGCTCTATCAATCACAGGTTTCCTCTGTAATTTTAGTAAAACAGTGGACTCTTCCCTCTGCATTGATACAGATTTCCTGGTAGCTTCTAATCAAACTCTCCAACGTCTCCATGAAAGAGGCAAGGAAAACACAAAGCTATGACATTTATTGCCTAAAGCCATACGAGGAATTTGCATGAGAGCTGGGCAGAGGACTCATTTGGTTATGTTGTTGGTTTTCCTTTCTTTAACAAGCAATCATTGTTTCATGCCAATGGATTTTTGAAAATAAGAAGTGAAAGGCAATGAGATCATGAATGAGATCATGTTTTAAATAATCTTTAAGTGTAAGGGAAGCAAGAATAGTTGTAAAGAAGCCTCCACTCCTAAGGAAGGCACAACTCTTCTGAGCACACCTGGCACAGTTCTTCCTCATCCCACTTTTATAGTGGTTTATTACTTTCTATGAGATTTTCTCCGTGTTTTAGAGTGGTGTGTGCATCGAGCTTGAGACCTCTGTTCATAGACCAGATTGATTCAACACCATGGGCTGAATTCAGTGTGATGTCCCTGAGCACTGGGTTGGGTGAAGTAGGTCAGGCCATTTTCTGTTAGTAGATTTAATGGGAAACAAATCTATTCTGAACTCTTTATGTGCACCCTTGCTCTTGTGGACTGAAATCAGATCCTTACATAATGTGTTTTTAGAGCTGTGCCTCCGGAGTCATAAGCAGAGCAGTGCAGGCTGCATACCTCTTCGCTCCTCATCAGAGACGTGACCCTGCAGAAGTGGCATCTTACTTTTGCCCACATTGGCTTCCTGTGTGCCGTGAAGGTTGTATTTGCTTTGTCTACTGAAAAAACACATTTTTACTACTGACAGCACTCCAGAACCAATAAAGCTGAGGCAAAGGGAGTTGTTTTCTCCTCTGCTTCATGCACTGTTGCCAGTAGAGTGACCAGCTAAGGCCTCTGTGAGCTGCTGGCCTCTCTCCCTATCCCAGGAAGGGCTGGCATCATACACAGAGCCTGGATCGGGCTCCTTACCTCCAGGTTTCATTTACTGCTGTTTTCAGCAAACCCTGAAATAAACCAGTTTGATGGGAATCCAAATCTCTTTTCCCTCTGACCCAAAGGCTTCTGGCAGAGCTGTTACTGGCAGTTCTTCCCCAGTCCTTCTATCAGCCATTCCACCAAGAAATTCTTGGGCCACAAGTGACTTCTGTCACTTCTGCATCCCTCGAGCTTTCACAGCCTTGCCAGGGGCCCAGTGCACCCCAGGCAGACACCTGCGCTTGAGGAATTACTGAGCCCCAGCCTGCTCTGCTCGGAACAAATCTCTGTACCTTCGAGAGGCAGTCCACCCAAACCAGCCTCATTCCAGAAAACATTTCCTCCTACGGGTAACTTAGTTCAGGAGAGAACAGTCTTCAAATGCTTCCTTAGGGTCACAGTTTTGCAGGAAGAATCTTAAACATGCACCTGGCGTGAAATAGAGAGGACATAGGCCTTACAGGCTTTATTTTTAGACTTAGAAACTGGTGGTTAAAGAATTATTTTCAAATACCAGCTGAGTAAAACTGAATTTATTACTAAAGAAATACAAGACATTAGGTTCAACTTCTGACTTCTTGTTTTCTGTTTGGAACACTTATTTTAACCTAGTATTGTTATTTTTGCCTTTGTGTTTGAACAAGGTGGTTTAAAAGTGAATTCAGAAATATTTGCAGTGACTTACAGGTGACTTATTGGCTGGAGGTAGAAAGATAGGACAGAGAGAGAAAGAGATAGACAGGCACCCAAAAAAAATGCCAGAAAACATTAACACCTTGCTAGGATTCATCAGCCATCCTCACAACTGCTCTCTCCTGAAGCCAATCACATCAATCCTTCCCAGAAGCAGTGGATTAGACGATGAGCTTTGAGTGGGGGCTTTTGCCCCTGTGTGTCAAGAAACATTTTGTTCTGCAGGGTGGGCAAAACGATGGCATGTGTGGGAATAAAGGAAGGATGAACAGACCCTCTCCAGTTCAGCTCTGAGACAGAGGAGCAGCTTCTACAGGCAAACTCCCAGGCAGCAGGAGTGGAACCGGAGCATGAGCAGGCCAAGACCTTGGCGAGAACCTGAGCCAGAAGTGGCTTGTGTCTGAGCTCACTTCCTGGCTCTGTGTAGACCTTAGCACCTCCATGTCCTACTCATACTCAGTACAGCATCAAAGTCATATCCAGTTAAGTCCTAAATTAAAGCAGAAAGCCTGCCTTCAGTTCCTGGTTATGTTTCTACTTGAATTTGGGGGAATTTTATTTTGAAAGGTAGGAATATTGCTTCTCAGCTATTTCCAGTGACAACTTGTATGCGAGGTTTCAGCAATGACAGTTTATTAGGTTCTAGATGAAGGCAGACACCTAAACAACCAGGTGAAAAAAATGTCAAATAAAACTCCAGCAGATCCTTGACTGACATTGTAGTAGCAAGTGTCACTGTGAGGCTCCTTTTACAGTGTAGAGCTAGGGTCAGTTTTCCATCTTTTTCATGTCATTTATTTCAGTTATGTATTATTTATAAAATGCCCTACGTGCTCAGGAAATAAAAATTGTTTTAAATTTAACTTAGGGAGTGCAAATAGTTGAAAAATAGTGAATTTTTAGAAAAAAAAAGCTCAACCTGGATAATACAATCTGTGTATTACTTTCATAATGAACCTAATTTTGAAGGTTAACATTTAAACAAATGCATAAATAATTTAGGTGAAATGGCTAAGCTTCAGTCCCATTAAACTTCGGCTCCTAAGTGCCTAAATAGCCTGCAGGAATGGGATTCAAGCACTTGAGGAAATTTTACTCAAACCTTAATAGGCTGTGCACTTCCCCGTAGAGTAGGCTGCCTGCTGTGCCTTGCGAGACAGTAGTTCTGCAATGGAAGTAGCATTTAGTATCCATTTTTTAAATTGTTTTATGCATTTGCTATTGAGGTAGACTTTGCGTCTTTTCTGTATGGATTGGGGGCACCACTGGAAATCGCGTTTCAGGTGGAGAACTCTTAGAGAACTCCCTAGGAAAAAAAGACAAGTGCGCGCTCCGCGGACCGCAGCGCAGCCTTGCAGCCTGCCGGGGCGGTCTGCAGCGGGAGCACAGCCACCGCGCTCCTCTCGGGGCATCGCAGGCTCCGTACGGAGGGTCTCGCTCGGCGGTGGCCTCTGATGTCCGAGCAGTGTCCGCGGGAACCTCTTCCTCCCACCCGTGATACTCCGCCGAGGTTTTGCACACCCTTGTTTCTGCCCGCGTTCCCCAGCGCGGCGCGGGAGGTTTATTCCAGGGGCTTCCCCCATCCCCTGAAAATGCGGCAGACGCG